ACACGTCGCCCTGGATCTGCTCTGCCACAGCTTCCTCAGGGAAGACCTGCCACCCCGGCCACCTGCCACCCACCGTGCTGGGCAGCTGGTGTGGCGCTTTGCCGTACAACTCAGCTTCGTCAAGACCGTGGCCCACTCTGCTCCAACTCATCAGTCTCATGAGGGCTGGGATCGGCCGCACTGCTCCTGTTTCAGCCCCTAAGTCTACGCCAGTGCCTGGCCCACAAGGGGTTCTGGGGGATGCGCACTCAGGAGGGCTGTGACGCAGTCTTACCAATCCATCTGGCAAAGTGCTCACGGCTTTAAATGAGAAAATGTCTGCAAAATTAAATGCGCAGCATAAATACAGGTAGAAAACCCAGATGAGAGGTGCTGGGTTGCTAGCGGTGGTTAGTCTTCTTGCCCACTTTTATTTTTTTCCATATAGATGAACTATTTTCCAGACATTTAAAAATAATCATCTATTTCCTTTCAATTGTGAAAACAGTGAATAAGATAGATGGATACAGAGAAGGATCCAGTGCTTTAAAATGGGCCACACTTCAAGTTAAGGTTCTGAGAGGTCGTGGTGACCTGTGAAATGTCCAAGTTGAATTTGGACACTGCCAATCTTTGTTTCTAGCCCTGTCTGAGTGACCACCCTTGATCTCTCTCGCGATGGGCTCCGTTTCTTCCTTGGGGGGCACCAGCAGGCTGAGTGGAGCTGAGATGACACATGATAGTTTTAGAAAAGAACAAAACGTAACTTTCTTTCTTTTTCCTAATAGAAAAATTCAGGCTAAACGAACCTTTTTCTTTCTTGCTTGCTAGGTAATTATGGTCATACAGTCAGGGTTGCATCCTGGAAGTTCCAGGAAGCTGCTTCGTGTCCTTCCGGCAGCACGTGTTACCTTTCGCAGCAGCTGTTGGAAGGTCCCAGGGTGACGGCCGCCACACCAGAGCTCCCTCACTCGGGGGTCCTGTGACCGGGGGAGCAGCACATAGACATGAGCCCTGGGTGGGTCACCAATAGGAAGCCCTCTGACGGTCGTGGGGTGGGATGTACTTGGAGGAACATCTACCAGAGAACAGATGGTTTCAAGTCTTGATGTGGACTTTAGATTCCCTCTATGGCCTTCATCTTTCAGAGCCTCAGTTTCCCCACCTGTTCAGCTGGAACATTCAGGTCCCCATGGTATTGTTAGGTAATGAAACTACAGCACTCTCATTGGGGATGAGCTATACTGAAGATCTGAAATACTGTCTGGAGGACCGTGTATTACAGACTCGGTCACTAGTTCAGCACCATTAGGGGGCAGTGGGATCTTTAAGGCCTGGAGGGAGGAAATTAGGCCATGGGGTGATCACAAAGGGGATGTGGAGACCCCAGTTCCTTCCTGCTTCTGTGTTTTGCAGGAGGTGAGCTGCAAAAGTGAGCAAGTGGCCCTGCCAGACACTGTCACCATCATTCTGCTCCATCTCCCCTGGTCCTGAGCAACAAGACAAAGATCTCAGACTACAGTCTGAAACCATCAGTCAAAATAAACCTTTCCTATTTTTAAGTTGTTATCCCGGGTATTTTGTGATATTAATCGAATGCTGATGAACACGGGATAGAGCCTTGTGCTCTTCTGCTGGCAGACTTCTGTTAAACTGATCATTGTATCAAGACCCAAGTGGAAAGAGTAGGAATGTTTATCCTGGAAATGACCAGGAAGAGGATGCGCTAGTAAAATATAAAAGTTGTCATATGCCTGAAGGGCAGATTTGTTCCATGTGGCCTACCAGAGCATGAACCCAGGCCACAGGCTAGACAGCCAGACAGGTATCTGCTTTATCTAAAAAAGGTTCCTTGAAGGCCAGAACGTGACAGCAAGGCTGTCTCCTAAGGTAGAGCTGAGTCAGTAGCCCTGTGACTGTTCCAGGGGTTGACTGGCAGGGGCGGCTGTTTCTGTTTGTTCGTTGCAGTGTTCAGGATGGACTCCAGGGCCCTGCACACACTTGGCCAGTGCTGTACCACTGAGCAACACCCACCCCTGGCACCGCTGAGTGGTTGTGGTGGTGGCAGTGATTCTTGTGTTAAGCTGGAGACTGGGCTGAAAACTTTAGATTCCTCCCAGTCCCAGGGACCTGTGTTTCTGCCTCTCAGCTTTTTACTGTTGGAATTGCCTGAACATTATGTATAATTCACCTTCGGTACCGTTTTACCCAGGCGCAGTATCTTAGCTACTTTTCTAGTCAATGGGACAGAACTTGTGACACCTTCAACATAAAGGACGAGAGGTTCACTCAGTGCCTGTTTCGGCACATGGTTCCCAGGAGGAGAGGTCCCCAGAGAGGAGTGTGGAGGAAAGCTGCTCAGGGCAGCCAGGAAGCAGAGGAGAAAAGCCAGGCCAGCAGCGAGATTCCCACTCCTCCAGGACTAGTCCCACCTCCTGACGCCAAGCCAGCTGCAGCCACCCACAGCTTGATCACCTACCATAAGCCCACTTCAGAGCACGTGAGGCTTTGAGGGACACCCGGATGTAACCCAGAACACCTGGCCAGGGCTGCAGTTGCTGGGGATGGGGGGCTCCTTCCTGCTCAGCTGCGCCACGGCTGTCTTCTAGTTCCTTGTTCTGGGAACGCTCACACTGTGATTCCTGTCTTCCCAGAGTAAAAATCAGAACCCAAATTCCCCAGCTCCTTTGCGGGAGAGATGAGCTCTGTGATCTCAGCCTACCCTTCCAGTGTCTCTGTGCAGAATGTGAACTTGGAAGAGAATACTCTGAAGGTGACAGGGATGGGCAAAGAGGTGTCCTCCTGCCTCTGACATCAATAATCCTTGTTCTGAGTGATGGCAGGGACACTGCCTTTCAGAACTGGCATTGGTCACTGTTTTCCGGACATTGCAAGGTCAAGTTCTAGGACTGGACGTACCATTAGTTCTAGCAGGGGTGAAGAGGTCCACCCAGCATGCTCCTGGCAGTTAGTGCTTCAGTGGCAAAGGCTGAGAAAGACTGCTCAGGGCTGCTCCTGGGAGTTCAGCCTGGCCCCCAGCTCCCATCTGCCTGCAATCTGTGTGTTTCCTAATGTGACCTAAGAGCATGCTCTCCAGACCCAGTATCTTGTGTCCTTCAAGAAAGACACACAGAGCCAGACAGCCTTTCCGCTCCCTGGTACCTAGGTGTGGTCACCTGACTGAGTGTGGCTTAACAGCAGGTGGGGAGAAGTGACAGACGTCCATGCCTGCTTCCTAAAAGTCCCAAGCAGCCCTCTATGCTCCAAGCAAGGTGTAGAGGACCCAGTGAAAGACAGCCAGATTCCTAGATGATGCTGGAGTCACCAGTAGGAGAGAGACTGAGCCGTTGATGTCAGGTGGACCTGAGTGGGAAATAAGCATCTTATTATTCTAGGTCACTCTGATTCTGCCACTGTTATACCTCGGGCCCATCCCGACCAGCACACCCTGCACCCATGGTTTAGGACTTGGGGCTCTGAGGGTTTTACTCCTCCACTCGATGTGTTACGGAGAAATCTGAGGTGCCAACTTGGTGGTCACATCTGCAGGCAGGACCTGGTTCCCTCAGAACTAGAGACAGCGGGTCCAGTTTTTCTTCCTTATAATGCTGGTGGCAAGGAGAGCTCAGGTGCCCTGGTTGAGCAATCCTGTCCTTCAGAGTCAGGGCCACAGAGGTTCCGCGGAGGGACAGCTGGCTCCATTGCCTACCTGCTCTCTGCAAATGGGGAAAGGAGTTTGGCTTCACTCCGAGCTCCTGCTGGAAGCTGAAGGGAATCAGGCCTGGTTGCCTGGTGCTCCTGATCTCAAGATGGGGACTCCAGCCCTGTCCCCTTTACTCTAAGGCCAAGCCAGCTCTGGGGCAGGAACCCAGAGAGCTCCGCTAAAGGCAACATTTTGTGTTTTGTTGAAACTCATTGAGCTTACCCCTTAAACACCTCCTACTGCAGGGGCTGGCGCAGGGCAGCCTGTTTGTATCATGTGAGCCACTTCCTAGCAGCTAATTAGACCTGGGCTAAGCATGTGACCCATACTGGACCTGTCTAAAATTTTGGGCCAGAGACCTGAAAGTGCAGCTGAAGGCTCGGCTCGCAGAGAGCAGGTGAGAACTGTTAAGTGGTGCCAGGGACCGTCTTGTAGCCTTCGGCACTAAGTTGGGCTTGAGGAGGCAGCAGGAGCAGCAGGGAGTGAAGAACCCAGTCCAAAAGCAAGCCCTCCACCAATCCAGTAGTTCTTGTAATTTGCTTAAGCTCTTTGTGGAATCTGTAAGGCAAGGGCTTTGCCTGACAGAAGAAACAGAGATGGGATTCCTCACCTTGCCAGCTCCCAGGAGCCTCAGCGCTCAGACTGTCCGAAGCTGGGGACACGTGGCAGGGAAGGTCTCTGGATTTCTGTGACCCAACACCTCCCACCACAGCAGAGAACCCAGGGACAGAGTGCTTTCCGAAGGACCCCACTCTGATCCTGGCCCCCAGCTGCCAGGCTGAGGAAGGCCCAAGCCCGGAATCCCTGGGCATTAGCAGCCCTTGCCGCATCCTCCGGTGAGGTGTAGGGCCGGCTGCTGCGAGGGGCCACCTCAGCACGTGTTGCTAGGCTGGCGACAATCGACAGGCGGCTAATCCTCCTCACCCGCCAGGCCCGAGCCCCAGGCGCAGCTGCAGAGCCCTGAGGCCTGAGGGGCGAAGGCCCAGGCTGGAGTCCCTACCCCTGCCGCGTGGGCAGGTGGTGGCCTGGGGTTAATGAGCCTCATGAATATGCACGCGCCGCCGCTCAGAGGCAAAGCTGCGAAAAGAGGGGCCTTTTCCCCTGCCACCAGGCCGAGTGGCCGGGTGCGTCACGCGGGGCCACGTCCCCTCCGCGATCGCGGGGCCCGCGGGTCCCAAACATCGGGATCATGGGATGCGGACTGGGAACCGACTCTGGACCTTCGCTTTCCGCGATGGTTTTCATTTCCTGTCATTTCGAGCTGGAAGCACTTATGGAACATCACATGGTTTTCGTTTACACAGGAAATCGGCTGCAGTTGCGAGAAGACACTGACTTACTTTTTTTGTTTGTTTTAAAAATCCTCCACCCCACCCTTCAAAAAAAAAAATCAAAACCGACTAGAGCAGCACTGGGGTCGAAGACGTTTTCCTTTCTGATCCAGTTAGCGTTCCTCGAAGCGAAGCGGCCGAAGTTGGGGTGACCAGCGGTGGTCGCGTTCTGCGGAGCGCAAGCCCCAGGGCGCGCGGGGCCAGGCCGGTTCCGACCCAGGCGAACTGGACCGCAGGGTGCACCACGCTGCCGTCGGGGACCGCATGCACTGCCCGAGTCAACTCACTTAAGTCTGTTTAAAACCGAAAATAGCCACTGTCACCACCCGCCCTGCCTGGAGAACCCGGCTGGAAAACTCCTAAGGACCCCCGACCGTCTGCCCAGAAATCATCGCGGGACGGTGGCATTCATCACGGAGCTTGAGAAAGCTGCCGAAGAATTTACGATTCGATTCTCAATCCGCGCCCGCGGACTGCCACGCCTTAGAGCACCCCACGGAGCCCGCACTCTGCGGTCCCCTCTCCCGGGCAGTCACGGCAGCTCCTCGGCCCCCGCCCCTGTTCCAGGGCAGCGGGTCCGCCCTGGGCGGCAGCGCCACCTTGTGGCCAGTGTCGCTCCCGAGCGCCTTCCTGCGCCCACGTGGGCGAGGGAGCTGCAGTCAAAATTGGGGCACCCAGTCTGGAATCAGGGTGGCCTAGCGCGAGGGCTAGGACGGCAGTGCCACGCTTCTTGTTCCTCGACCGCGCTGAAAACACGGCTCCTTTCATGTCTTCTACTAAGCCAGTCCACAATTACAGATTCATTCCTTTGATTTAAGGCTTGACTCTCAAGTAAATGAAAGGACCTTTGCAGAGATACGGTCCAGGCACCGATTTTAGGGTGAACCTGGTTATTATCTTTTCCCAAGAGAGAGTGGGCTGTTAGGGAAAAGAACAAAGCAATCGAGGGTACAGGGGCCAGACCTCAGCCAACCTTCAGGGGCTGGGGTCCTCAGTGGGACTAGGAGGTGGCCAGGTGGGAAAGCCTGGAAGGGGAAGACTCCTTTTAGGGGTGAAGTCCCTCGGGGAATGTCTAGCCCCATTGGGTCTCTCAGCCTGGGCGTGTGCCATGTGGTACTGTGTGCCCAAGAGCCCATTTTGCTGTGCCACTCCGGCTCCTTCCACCCCAGTCCCCTAGCACTTAAAACTTGCAGCCATCTGTAGGAACACGAGCCCCAGGTTTTTACAGGCTGTCTCCTGGCAGCTGTAGACAAATCTTGGTGTGGCAGCTTTTCCAGGCTCCGAATGCTACATTGTGTAACAGGACCATCCTCTGAAACCAAATATGTGCAAGGGGATCCAGCAGCCAGCTGTCCGCCAAGCTCGACAGGGCAGGCTGTGGAAAGCCCTGGGGGAGGGGGCTCGCAGCTTCTGGAGGGTCCACCAGTAGCAGGCTACTCCAGTCAGGCCAAGGAGCTGCCCGAACTCTGGGTGGTCACATGCAGGCCCATCAGACATCAGACCCCTCCCAGCTGTGCCCCTGTGCCTTTCCATAGCCCATAATTTCTGTCTTTCCTTGGTGGACACCGTGTTGGCCTCCCCGTGCTTGCTACCTTTGAGTCAGCCTGGGGTTACTCTGAGTTCTTTAGCTGGCAGAGGAGGTTGTGTCTGGCTGCAGCCATGTGGTGCAGACATTGTTTTTTCCAGTGTGGGCTTTGAACCCACAGCTTGCTCACTGAACTACATCTCCAGCCTATCTTTATTTTTTATTTTAAGATAGGGTATCATTTAAATCAGCAAATTGTAAATCACCCCGGCCAGGCTTGAACTTTTGATTCTCTTGCTTTAACCTCCTAGAGGGCTAAGATCACAGATGTGCCCTACCACGCTTGGCTGTGTAGTACAGAATAAAAAGAATCACCAACCTCTCTCCTCCTCCAGGCCTGCAGTCTCCATTTTCCCTTCTCTCTCTCTCTCTCTCTCTCTCTCTCTCTCTCTCTCTCTCTCTCTCTCTGGAAATAAGGAGCTCAGTGGGCTGCAGAATGATCACAGCTTCATTAATGGGAGATCCAGCCAGGGCCCTGTTTCGACTGGAGGGTGGTTCCCAGTGACTCATTGGCTGGACCATCTGGAAAATGGGAGAATTTCCTGTGGGAGGGGGAAATTTTGAAAAGAAAATGAGATGCTTGGCACCTGTCTCCCTCCCAGCCCACAGGCAGAGCGCAGCCTGCAATCCTGCCAAGCGTGGGACTGTCCCCTCTGCTCTGGGCAGCAGAGTCGCAGGTTGCACTCTGGAAAGGCTTCCTGGAGGGGTCATCAGCCTGGGCCTCCGGGGCCAGGCTTTGCATTTTGAGCTCAGATTCATACAAAGCAGCGTTTCACTATGTATTTATTGCTGTTGCATTAGCAAAAGGGAGGGGAAAGCCGCGCTGGAAATATGCCAGAATGAGATCTATAATGATGTTGTTTAGCAGCAACTGTGTCATTCCGTGTTGTTGACAGTAAAATAAATTAACATAATAAACATAATTTGCTATAAAAAAACGGCTAAGAAAAAGCAGATGGTTAGCACATTCCGGCAGGACCTGTTGGTCCAAGTTTGCACGGATGTTTAGACCGTTTGTGCTGCTGCCTGCGACAGATGCTTGCCCAGGTTCCTGGCGCTTCCACGTGATGGGTACCAGCGGGCCGTCGCAGGCCTGGGCTGCAGCCTCCCGAGGGTGGCTCTGGAAAGTGGGCGTGAACTTGCTCATTGCCAGCAGCGGTGCAGGCCCTCGGGTCGGGCTGCATCCCTGCCGCGCACAGCATCCAGCCCGGCCATTAGCATTCACAGGCCGTCCCTGCGCAGTGCCCGTCCTTTGTGTGCCTGAACAAGGGCGCTTTCTTCCGGGGAGGATGGCGCCTAAGCACTCCAGCTCCCGCGGGCGAGCAGCCCAGCGGCCGGGGACCCAGTGGGCTTTGTCTCGGCCCCAATTCCTGCACCCGCGGCACCGGAAGCAACAGAAAAAAAGTTAATTTTGGAAAAGACTCTGTGGTGCCTGGTGGGCTCCTTTTCCACCACGCTGGAGGGCTGAGTTCTGCAAGCCACTGTTAACGCAAGTCCTGGTGACCTCTGGCTTTCTTAGACGCACAGATCTGGCGGTGGTCTCCCAGGGAGGCGGCTCCATGGGGTGAAGGTCAGGCCTGGGGGCTGAGCCTGAGCATGGGCAGCAGAAAGAGGTGGCTGGGAGCAGCTTGGAAACCCGGTCAGCAGGAGGGACCGTCTTCCTCCTGCCCAGCACTGAAAGGGGTGCTTTTCCCAGCAGGCCCTGGGCTCAGGAGTCTTCTAACTGCCTGGCCCTTGGGTGCACAAAGACTGGTGAGTCCCGGAGAGTTCAGAGGTGGGTTAGGTGCGCCTGGTTCCTCACAGAGAACATCTCAGAGGAGACCCAGCTGGATATGGAGTAATTAGAGCAAGGGTCACCTGCTCTGGTACAAGATTAAGTCCAGGAGGGTGAGCTGGGAACCGTGCCAGCTCTGTGCCACCTGCTCAGCATGCAGCAGCGCTGTAACTCAGGCTGTGGCGCCCAACCCTGGCCTTGGGGTAGAGGATAACACTGTCCAGGTGTCTAGTAGAAACGTCCGAGGGTATGGCCAGGACTGGGACTCCACCTGCAATGTGTGTCATCGGAATCCTCCTCCCCTCTGAAAGTGTCTCCCAGCTACCTTGCTGGAAGCCAAACTGGAAGTCATTTTTGACTGTTTCTGTTACCAACCTCACACCAAACCCATGAGCACGTTTTGTCAATTCGACCTGTAGAAACCATGCCAAGTCCACCTACTGGTCATGGCGTCCTCCTGCTATCTTGGTTCCAGCCATCTTTCTCTCCCCAGGCTCCATCCTGCTCAGTTCCTGAAGGATTGATCTGCTTTGCCCTGCAGCCCCCAAATCGGAAAGTGCCACTTTTCTGTTTAATCGGCGCTGACAGGCCAGGTCTCTGGGAGGCTAAGGGCAAGATGGGATCTGAAGTGAGAGAAGATGACAGGCAGGTAAAAGGAAGGGGGAAGAGAAGGAGGAAAGCCTGGGAAAGGGACAATAGGAGGAGAGCAGAGGGTGAGAGAACAGCCCAGACACAGGGTGAACTCCACACTGGGGCCCAAGCTTTGTACCCCTGGAGTGAGTGGTCAGTCCCTGAGGACAGCACGACCTACCTCAGGGGTGCTATGGGTGGAGCTTGATGGCTGCAGGCTGACCCTGCTCAAGTGGGTCTTCTCCTGAGGGGAAGCTGGGCCAACCACCCCCACACTGCCACATCCACCCTTGGGCTGCCTTTGAACGTGGGCCACGTGGTATGGCTTAACAAGCTGTGTCCACCCTACTGTACTCAGCCCCAGCTACAATGCCGCAGGCCCAGGTCCTCCAGCAAGCCAAGCTTCTCCCTGTGCCACAGCTTTGGCATGTGTCCAGAGCCCTGGCCGCCTTCTCTCCCAATGGCTGGCCTCCTCTTGCCACTCAGATCTCAGCTCAGATGTCAGCAAGATCTTTTCTGCTCCTTTTACTGGAAAGCAGCACCGCTGCCCCATTGTTCTGTAAACTCTGCCTTCAGTCTGGCCCACCCTTTAGCACCATCTGACTTTTCTATGTTTTTTCTCCTATTGATTTATTTATTTAAAGATCAGTGACATTTTTGGACTTGCTGGCCACTGTGCTTCTAACACAGTGCTGGGCACACAGAAGGTTCATTTATGCACTGGGCCGAATGCAAAGCCCAAGAGAGCAGAGGTTTTAAGATTTAGTGGGCTAGCAGCCTGGACAAGGATGTGCCACTTCTCGGAACAGAAGAGTCTGGTGTGCATGACTTCAGGCTGAGCCTCTGCTCCTGGGGCCTCAAGCAACACTAACAGGAGAACCTGCCAGGAAATGTGCTTTAACAACCGGAGCGCCACACATGGAGGGTAACGACTGCTCATCAAAAATCCATTAGTAAAGAAGGTCTATTTTTGATATTTAGTTCAAGACATGAGCTCACCTGTTGGTCATTTAGTTGTCAGCTGACTTGGTTCTAGAACATTCCAGAGCTGCTATGCTCTGAAGGTTGGTGTCCCTCCTAAATTCCTATGTTGGGAACTTTCATAGGTGGAGTTCCAAGGTGAAAGAACACACGTGTGCAACTCATCAGCAGCGACAGCAGGCGCATGGAACAGAGCAGAGCACAAGAGTGCGAAAGCTGCCTGCATCTTCATTGTGTAATTCTCACACAGGTTGTTCTCTCGTGTTTACATTCTTCCATAGCTCCGTCAGCAGCATACGTGTATTTACCTCTACTAAGTCACAGTTATATAACTGTATCTACTGTGAAGTTGCACCATACAAGCCGGGTCACATCCTCAGTGTCCTTAGATACCCCTGAGCTTTGAAGCAGTCGGAGTGACTTCCCCACAGGAACGAAGACCCAGCATGAGATTTAAATGGTGTGGTATTTGGGAAAGGATTATGTCATAATGGCTGTTCATGAGTGGGATTAGTGTCCCTATAAAAAGCTGAATGGAGCTGCTGACCCTTCTGCTGTGTGCAACTGTGGAAGGAAAATGCCATCTTTGAAGTCTAGAGCACGTGCTCTTCAGCCTTCAGTTCTGTGGGTGCCTTGTGCTTGGTCTTCCTTTCCTCCAAAACCTGAAGACCTAACTCAAGTAGTTTGCTCTGGGATCTCAGACAAGTCACTGAATCTCTCTGAGTTTGATCTGAGGCAGTAAATTGAGCGAGTGTTAATTGCATGTCCTGAGATACTGCCCTTGGGCTCCAGCACATGCCCTCTCCTGCCTGACTGACCTGAGAGGTGGCTGCTGATCTGCCACTCTGTCAAGCCTTCCAGGGCAGCAGTGCCATGGAAGGTGGACACAGCGATGAGGGAAAACAAGCCCTTTCAATGCCCAACCTACAAAGTCATAGTAAAGTATGCTTTTTGAGACTGGTTTCAAGATTAGTTCTTTGACTCACAAAACATGACCCTCTTGGTATTGTATGTACCGTGCGTGCAGGAGAGTCATTCCGAAACTATTACAAAAATCTCGGCTGGGGCCCAGCAGCTGCTGTACAGATGTTCCGCGTGAGGGGCTGGAACATTGTTTAGTATCAATAAACACCAGCTCAGAGACATAAAACGTGAGAGTCCAGCTGGAGATGGTGATAACAACAGCCATGAAGACCATTTGCAGAGAAGCGGAAGGGGACCGGGGCTGGGAGCAGACCTTCCCCTCTTGCATGCAAGTGCTAAAGCCCGGAGAACACTGTGATGGAGGCACTGCTGGGTGTTGCAGGCTGGGCTTTGTATCTCTGTCCCAAATGGCCAGTTCACTCCTACAGATGGGTGTCCAGAGCTAGGTATCCAGAGATGGGTGCTAAACCCAAGTACCCCACATTTTGGTTTCCAGTCCCTGTATCTACCCTTTTGGCATTTGTTCACTCAATATCTCTAAAGGCTCAACTCTGCACGCCAGTCTCTGAAGCTTCTCTGCAGTGCTCAGCTGCAGACATTGTGGGCTCATCATTTCCTGTTTAAACCAGTAACTTCCAACCAGATACCACCTCTGCACGACACTCAGTAAACTGCTAGCGGGACCTCAGAGTGCACCAGCCATAGTTTGGAAACCAACCAAGCTGTTCCACGTGTCCACCAGACAGGGCCAGGACTGAATCCAGGGCTGAGTGTGAGAGCACCGTTGGGCCTGATCCTGGGCAGGGCCTGAGAGGTAGGCTCAGCCCAGCCAGCCCTCATTTTGCAGATGTGGAAAACAACATCAAAGCAGTGACATGAGTGTCCAGGGTCACACGGCCAGGAAGAAGCAGCTGGAACTGGACCCCAGGCATCCCAATTTTGATGCTAACCTGTATTTCTCTTGAGTCCTTCTGTGGCTGTGCCCATTTTTAAATTGTAAATCATTGCAAAGTATATCATCAAATAAAGAAAAATTTGTTAACCAGTATCTGATATTTAAAAACGAGTCAACAGGAAAGCAGTACATTGGCCCCAAGGTCTTGAGTTAGAAGCTTCTGCAGTACTCAGATGTAGAAAGGACACAGAAAGACGGCACAAGGCAGGGTCATGGACCAGCCAAATGCCACGGGCCTCTGT